AGCACAATGATAATACCAACATGGGCCAGTGAAGCAACATCCTCCACAACTAGACTGAAGAACAAAAGGACAGTAACTTGTCTGTTCCCCTTCCCTGATTCCCCAATGCTGTTCCCCTCCCCCAATTCCCCAATAAAATCTTAAAAAAAAAAAAGATTTGGCATGTTGTATCCCCACTTTCAATCATTTAAAAGTATTTTCTCATTTCTCTTTTGACATCTTCTTTCACCCACTGGTTATTTAGGAGTTTAATTTCCACATATTTGTGATTTCCCCAAATTTCTGTTATTCATTTCTAATTTTACACCATTGTCACCAGAAAACATACACTGTATGATTTCAATCCTTTTAAATTTATTGAGGATTGCCATATGGCCTAGCCAATGGTCTATCCTGAAAATGTTTAAGTGCACTTGAAAAGAATGTATATTCTGCCATTACTGGGTGGAGTGTTCCACAGATGTCTGTTAGTAAGAGTTGGTTTAGAGAATTGTTTAAGTCTTCTTTCCTTGTTGATCTTGTGCCTAGCTGTTCTAATCATTACTGAAAGTAGGGTGTTGAAGTCTCCAAATTATTGTTGAGTTCTCTATTTCTCCTTTCAATTTTGCCAGTTTTTGCTTCATGTGTTTTGTGGCTCTGATGTTACATGAAGTCACTGCAGTTTATCTAAGATGGAGCATTGCTTTGTTTCTCTTCATCACTGGTGCTTTTTGCACCATTCTTGCCCAGTAACATTCAATGTAATGCTGTCCATCTTCATGTTCTCTGGGTTTTTCCAACCTATCCCTCTAAATCTGTCTACACTTGGCAAAGTACAGCCCATATAATGGTCATTCACTAAATTGTTATGTACCTGCAACTATTAAACTAATTAATACAATTTTGCACTATGATGCACAAAAGGAGGCCAACAGCAATCTGCTTTTTAAAAAAAGAGCTTAAGAGATGCCTAATCTACTGAACAGAGCTAATACCATTGCTATAGTTCCTATTTTTCTCAATTCCTTCAGGTTCCATCACATACTAAGGGCTGAGGGGGTGTCCATGCAGAGGAGGACCCATTTGGTCTTAGATTCTCCCTCTACTCTTATTCCAGGCAGGGATTTCTGCCTGTTTCTTTATAGAAACGGTGACCTGATCTGATACGGAAAGGTTAAGGGCAGCCTGGGCCCAATGGATAGCCTAAAGCCCTAAAAGTAAAAAGGAAATGAATCAGAACTGGGCAATCTACCTGGAACTGCAGCAAAGCCCAGGCTAATTCAATCTACTGGAAGTAGGCCGACTCCAACACAAATTAAAGCTATTCAGCAGTGGCTAAATTAACCTCAGGAAAAGCAAGAGACAGAAAGCGTTGCCCTCCTTACCATGGCCGTACACATCATACAGCTGCCTACCTCAACTTAGGCTTACGCTGGGGCATTTTACTACTCTTAAAAGAACTATGAAACATGCACCAACTCTACAATTTCTCAGAATTCTCAACAAGTAGCTTCATTCTCACCAAGAATATAAAGGTAAAAAAATAACTTATTATCAACAGGGCCTCACTGTCAGGATAAACTACTGTTCACCCCCCATATACGAGTATAAGAAGAAATGGTGACAATTTGTGAAGCTGCCCTAAACTCCACTTATCGTTATGTTAGAGATGCCTTTATAATTCACATTACTCTATAAGTTTTCAAAGAAATACTTAACTTACATAGAACATAAAAAATACAGTTTGAACTTTTAAGAAATTCAATAGCAGTACTTTACTATTTTTTTTACAGAAAAGACTAACCATTTAGGTATAAATTCTACAAAATATTATTCCAAACTAAGGCTATAAAAGCACGACTAAAATTATTTTATATATATACACACACACACATATATAGCATTAAACTTAAGTTGTACACCATGTTTGATGAGAATAAAAATTGACATAATTTTGAAAGAGTAAAAACACTATACTATTAAGTGTGAGAACATAAAAAATTGTTTTGAAAACCAAAGAGAACAGAATACAGAGAGAACAGAATCACAAACTGGAAAGAATTACTGCCCCATATCACAATCAAAAGAGCGACAGTTTAAGTGTGTACATACATCGGCTTGACCTCCTCTCGACTGCGTTTTTGCCCGCCTTCACGGTGTCCTTCCCCGTGTGCTGTAATTTTGATTGATTCTGCTGATGGTCATTAGACAACTTGCCTCCATTTCTCCTGCCATTCACCACCATGTTCTTGGATTCTCCCAACCACTTCATACCCACAGACAGCCTGACCCAGGTGCATTTAGTCACTCTCTTCAGATAGCTTAGAGAATAATTTCAACGTTCTCTCCTAACAGAAACAAAATATGAAAAATAAAACGGGAGGTAAATACATAAAAGACCATGCCACACAGACCCTTGAGAAAGATACAGAGTAGTAAAAGTAATTTAGTAATTAATGTTTCCACTTTTTAAAGACCTGGCTCTCTGGCCATCTGTGTCATGCTGAGGTCTGTAGTGCCCCCAGGCCCTGGGGAGGGAGCCTATCTTGCTCACTGCTTGTGCTTTGAATAGCTATTGGTAAACAGTACGTGCTCAATAAATATTTATTTTTCAGTTACCAACAAGAGTCATCTTTGCTCCTACTATGCTGATACCTAGGTATACAGCTCAGTTATCTGCTCTAATTACTCATTTTGGTAACATTCTATTAACTCTGTGAGTAAATGACAGGAAGTTATCTCCTCTATAACAGCTTTGTCATCTTTTTTGTTCAAGTCAGCATTCAAGGTATTTAGGGGTGATTTGCTCTAATTACTCATTTTGGTAACATTCTATTAACTGTGAGTAAATGACAGGAAGTTATCTCCTCTATAACAGCTTTGTCACATCTTTTTTGTTCAAGTCAACATTCAAGGTATTTAGGGGTGTCTTATCAAATTTCAAAGTATTGCCCATCATAAAATGTTTGCCTTAGCATTCCTTTACAACAACAACAAAACTTGAGAGATTTGCTATTATAGCATTATCTCTCACTATCTGAATTTTAAGTAGCTGAATTTGGGAGCTGAATGATTTGGAGTGAGGGGTGCTTGCAGTTTCTAAGGACCTTTGAAAGTGATGGTATAATAGATTACACTTGCTGGTGATGGAATGAGGAGGCTGTCCGTGACATCATCTCATTACGGAATTATGCCTATTTAGTATATAAGTTAGACTAAAAAGGCTCTAGGATAAGGAAGTGCAAAAACATAGACCTTTAAAGCTAAAGGAACTTTAAGATCCTAGTACAAGTCCTTTAACTTGCAGATGGAGCTGAGGTCAGAGAGACTGAGGTACACGCCCAACGCCACTCGATCAGCAGAATCATGAGGGGAGCCCAGCACCAGTGCCTGAGCGTTGCTCACTACACCAGACGAAGGCCAATTTCCTTACTTTTTATAAACACACAGAAAAGTACAAATGATACATCATCTTGAAGTACTCCCAGAAATGTGTAACTGGCAGGTCTTTAATGATGACCAACACAAACACAAAACATTTTTACTTGACTTCTGGTCTGTTTCTTGTCACAGGAGTTTTGTGTGAATTCACAGTGGGGTAAGATGTGTGTGTGAGCAACATGCTTAGGGAAAAAATATCTGACCCACATTAAGCACACTTTTATCATTGTCCTCCAACATGTATTATTTTTCTCCTAGTTCCTTCACTATTTAAATTCAATTAGTATTCAACTTTTGTTGTGCGTATCTTTTGATTCTTCGTATAGGCTTCACTAAACCCAGAAAAATATTGCGGCTTAAATAATAGAAAAGGGTGAGTAAAACTATTGATACATCAGTTATAAGTTACAGATTTTTCAACCATGACAATTTCTCAGATTAAATATAAAACCTCCTTGATGATTAAATATTCTACATTTACACTTAGAAGAAAGGGCACAGAACTCAAGAGCGGTATACTTTTGAAACATAAAGGCAAAGGAAGCCTGGAAGAAAGGCAATGCCCCATGACACGCTCACTCGCTCCTCTGCCTGGAGCACAGCGACCCGCGTCTTTTCGTCTGGCCAATCCCTTCATATCCCAGGAAGTCTTCCTTGACCCTCACTGTCAAGTCCAGGTAGACACCCTTAGTATTCACCTTAGGTGAAAGTCCTTACATCACTGTATAGCAACAGTCCGTCTGATTCCTTGATGGACTGGGAGTTCCCGAGGTCAAGAATTTTTTTTTCTCTCTAATCCCAGTATCCAGCACAGCACAAAGTAGATCAGAGGCACTCAACTGATGGAAGAATAAATAAATGAAGCTATAGTCTAAACCGCCTAACAGAAACTGTTATTTCTGTATTTTCTTAAACTGTACGTTAAAGTTATGACCTGACCTCTCCAAACCCTCTTCTTTCTCAAGGTGCCCAGGCTGCTGCAGGCAATGAGAAGCCCCTGTGAAGGCAGACGCGGCAGGAATCACAGCCCTCCTGCCCGCAACCTCCCTGCCACCTGCCATTATGCTTTCTGGTTCACCCCCTGGGTTTGCACCTCCAGGAAGTAAGGATAAGGAGGAGAGGCTAAAGTGCATTCAGTCCTTTAGCAAATCCATCTCCAGGACACCCACATATAATACACAACTATGCATAATGACTGACAATGTGTTTCTAAGACTCGTAGGAGCCCCCAGTCTTCCTCAGTGATTAAGACATGAAGTGTAACTATATGGAATGGAAAAGACCAAGTGGCTTTAGACAGAATTAAGAGACAAAAGAAATAGCAAGTCATCTTTCCACAGAAAACCCGTGAGTCCCACTCAGAGCTGAAGACCACAACCTGACACGAGACCCAGTGATCTGTTTGAACAGCCCTCCAGGTGAGTCTGACGTGCGCGAGCTGCAGTGCGAGAAACACTGTCCTAAGTCCTTATTCGGACTCCTGCTCTAAGTCACTTGGTCATCTGCTAGGGCAAAGATGACAAATTTTAAGAAAGGCTGTAAAATAAAAACAGTTAATTTGAGGAAATTATACTTATCAGCCTGTTTTTTCCCCTGAGAATCAGGAAAAAGTTCACCAGTAAGTCATTCTAGCAGCACCCTTCAGTGCAGTTCATGGAACACAGACTAAAATCCACTGTAACTTACACATAATTCCTACCAAATCTGTTATTGGTCCCAAGTGGAGCAGATTCATAACCTTGGGTCTCATTTATATCGCAGTCCACTGATACTATCTTGTTTGAAGGTACCTTAGGGTAGCAGGGCTCTGTCCATCACAGAATGGGGTTGAATTTCCCTCGTGTGACTATACTGCACGTGTTTGGATACAGTCTAGCAGACGCTCCAATACTCCCCCCACTTGTCTAGATAACAACGGCTCATTAAGGCAAAAGGCTTCACTTAGCCTCACAAATGAATATGTTGTAAAAACAGTTCTAGTAAAGCTATCGAAATTTCGGGGCTATTTATAATTTTTTAGCTCAAAATTAATATATATAATAAAAACTCTAATATTTATCAGGTCATCGTTTGTTCTGCCTCATATAAGTGTGGAACCTGTTCTTGGCACTGACCTTGCATACATGACCACAAACCAGGAGAGCACCTAGCATTAAAGGCTGAGACGGAATTTCAAAGCTAACAGCTGACAGTGTGGCAGACTGTGAGGAAGGCGCGGAAGACAGGTGGCCAGCAAAGCCTAACGGCCTCGGCTCCCATACAGGTCCCCTCGTAACATAAGCAAGGGTACAGAGTCTCCGGCCTGGACACAGCTGGCTCACATGGAAAAGCCATCACTGCCTTGGCTGGGTTGACAGTACTGCGCTAATGGGCCACTGACTGTATTTATTTAGAAGTAAAAATTACCTCAAATTTATCCCAAAATTGGCAGAATTTTTTTTTTTCAAGAAATGAGTATTGGCCACTCCTTACATGGCATAAAGCTACAAGTCGTTCTCTGGGTTTTTTTTGTTTTTTTAAAAGATTTTTATTGGGGAATTGGGGGATGGGAACAGTGCTGGGGAATTGGGGGAAGGGGAACAGACAAGTTGCTGTCGTTTTGTTCTTCAGTCTAGTTGTGGAGGACGATGCTTCACTGGCCCATGTTGGCACCATCATTGCGCTCTTCCCGGGCGAGGCAGATCAGTCGCCGGCTTCTGGACGGCCGCTCACTGCGGCTGCTGGCCGCTCACGCTGGCTGCTGGCGACTCACGGCAGCCCAGCTCCAGGTTGAGCTGTTGTTCAGCATCTTAGCTGTAGAGGGCAGTGTCACTGGCCCTCATATGTGGGATCCGAACCGGGGCCCTCTGGCGTCCCAAGCCAGTTCTTATCCATTGCGCCACTCGGCCGGCCCCGTTCTCTGTTTTGATTTCCCCAGATAAAAATATCTGAAAAATTATTAGTCATTATCTTCCAAATAGCATTCCAGGCACTGGGGGTCCAGTGAAGAATAAAACAAGGTATCTCCCTCATTTGTGCTTATATTCTGATGACAAGAGCTTTGGGAAATAACCAACTCACAAATAATTGCCAGCACGTTGGAGAAAATCAAGGAGTTGTAAGTGGCAGGGAGTGCTTGGGTGGCACAGGGGCCTGATGGGGGGAAGCCAGGCAGCAGTGGGGAGGGTGCACTCGGCAAAGGGCATGGACCCAGCTGAGGGGAAAAGCAGTCGGTGTATCTGAGGACCAGCACGGGGCCAGGGCGGCTGGGGCAGGAGGGAGGTCAGAGAGGCTGCCAGAAGAAAGGGCCTCAAAGGCACTGCTGAGACCTGGGCATTGACCCTCAGTGAGGCGGACAGCAGGGGACAGACACGACCCGAGTTACAGTTTTAAAGGCCCGTGCTAGCGGCTTGCTATGTGCAGAAGAGCTCACAATGAACGAATGCTTTTAAAAAAGCATTAATGTGGGGGGACAAGTGAGAAAGCACCAGCTGAGAGACCACTGCAGTAAACCTGGGAGATACCAGCGACCTGCAGCAGCAGTGGTGAGAAGCGGTCGGGTTCTGGATCTTTTCTGAAGGGTCTGTGATAGATGGGATTTGCTAACAGACTGCGTGAAAGAAAGAGGACTCAAATATGCCTCCACATGGAAGGATGGACTCAGCATTGACGGAGGTGACAAAGATGACAGGAAGATGAGGTTCTGGCAGGGGTCGGGATGCAGGAGTGTGATTCTGGTCATGTCTGAGAAGCCCATCAGAGACCAAGTGGACATGCTGGGACGCTGCTGGACACAGGGCCTGGAGCATGCGTCCAGGCTGGACAGGTCAACTTGGGAGTCAGAGTACAAGCGGTATCTGAAGCCATGGAATGAGATGAAATCACCGAGGGAGTGAGTCCAGATAAAGGAAGGCTAAGAACTGAGGGA